CGCTGATCACTGAGAGAGACGTAGTTTCTATGGTCCACGGCTCTTTGAACTCGAGGCTCACAACAATTACGGATGCCTTGAGCGAAGCCGAGAAAGGGAACATAGAAGCCAATAAGATCAACAGAGAGCTTGCACAGACACTTCTGGCTCTTGCTGAGGACTTGAAGGCACAATCAACCGAAGACATCGGGGATCCCAACCTCCGCAACCGAGTGAAAGCGGTAGAAAAGGATGTGAAGGACTCACGCCGGAAGATGAAGATCCTGAAGGGTGTACTCGCAGGCATGATTGTTGGCAGCGGTATGAACTGGGCTGAGGACGAGGTATTGCGCGAGCTTGTGATGGATGATGAAGAGGATGGCTGAAGTGGCTCCGGGCATTGATTATGAGCTTTACGAATGACGTCAACGACCAAAGTAGATCTAACAGATCAACTTGAAAGCTAAGACCGGACCATGAGCTGGACTGAAGCGTAGCGGTCTGCCACTGGATATGTTTGCGAAGAGGATTGAAGATGAACGAGTACAAAGCCTTACCTGGTAAGGTGTAGGTACCCTAGCGATAGGTGACGCGCTCTAATCCGTGTCCTTCAGCAAGAGTAGGCCAGCTGTCAATAAGGGACTAGCTAGGGCTACATGTGAGGTGCTGAAGCGCTTCCAGTGTAGAATCCCGTTCTGAACGAAAAAACTGGATTTTGATTTTCTGATTGCTTTTTGTGGGTGTGTTCCACACTGTCTCCACGCTCAACCAGCATCGTACCAGTATATGTAGGACCTAGTCAGACATTGGACAACAGATGCCTGGCGAAACGATGCGGCCCTGATATATCACGACACTTTGTGTCGTTCAAGAGAAGCAAAACAAGCATGAATATGTGGCTAGCTAGACCATTGAAAAAGGTGCTGAAGCGCTTCTGATGCGTGATACGGTATATTTATAAATATTCTTAAATGCCAACACCACCACCAAACTGGTGACCGACCTCAAACGTCCAGACTCTAGTATCAAACAAGATATCTACTTACCGTCGCTCATCTGGCATCTTTCTTCTACTACAAACACAGCAATGAGCACTAATTTCTGCTACGAGGTACGCCAGACCCGAACCAAGCGTAGAGAAATTCAGTACCTAAATTTAGATTGTACTATGAAGTTGTACCTCTAAGCTGGAGCTTAGACGCGAGACTGGGGGTGTGGAGAAGTGAGTGTCTCGCCCTCTTTTCTTTCCTTTCCTTTTGAATGATTGCTGACCGATTCTCTGGAGTTGGCTGCTGAAGAGGAGGAGAGGAAGAAGAAGGTAGAGAAGAAGGTTGCTGAGAAGAAGAAAGCTGAAGAAGGGTCTTTCGAGGAAGCAAATGAGAGACGAAGTGGAGAAGAGTGGCAAGCTACAACAGCTGAGGTCGCAGCTCCGGCGCCTACAACTACCACTCCTTACAAACTCCAAGCTCCAGACCTCAGAGTTCAGATATCGAGAACTTACGCCTGCTCACCGCTCAGCCACCTCGGACATCATACGCCGATTAGAAGCTTCTTATCCGCACCCGGCTGCTTGAGGGCGCTCGAGTGTGAGGGAGATATGGGAGACAGAATGCTACGACATGCTCGTCGGTAGTGTTCAATACCACATAGTTGTACTCTACCTTCGGGATTTCAATAAGGCGAGCCACGTCCCTTTGTGCTACCATTTACGCATCATGCGTAACCAAGGCATGCCGGAACAGACTGCGCGGAAACAGATGCTGCTGCGCAACTGTCTTCACTTCGGAGACAATTCAGGTAGAGATAAGACGGGCGAAGAAAACCAAAACAGATTTCTACAATAGCGCCTTGGAATGAAGGCTTTTGAGGTTTGAATGACGAGTCCGCATGATTGTTTGGAATCCTTGGTCGGGCCGTCGCTGCTGACTAAGATACTCTAACTTCACGTGTCGCAGCCTGCAACCCATCAAAGCAATTGTATTGCTTCGATTGCGCCATTTAGTGTTCTTCGTACCATCAATCGGCGATTACAGCGAGGCTGTCGCAAGCCAGAGCTGCGGCTTAGAGTGTCCAGAAGTGTCGCATCAAGGCAGGGCGCTTGAAGGCGTCTGCCTCCGCGATGCAAGTACACTGACCACCGTCTTGCGAGGCGGCGCTGCAACCCGACAACAGAACGCGCACATCTCGCTTCTGCCATCGTTCCTCGGGACATCTTGATACGCTCATTCAGGATATGGAAGAAATCGCACCTGTTCCTACACGACTTCGAGGCGCAATTGTTTGGGGGGTGTTGCACACCAAATCGCAATATTGCGGCCCTACCGTATCTGGACTAGTCACTAGTGCAGAATAACAGTCTCCTTCTCCGCCCGGCCGCGCAGAAGTGACGTTTGCGGCTGTCTATTAATCGAGCCATTCTCCGCGAAACCGGACTGCGCTCGCTGCGAGTGGTTTCTCTCAAAGCATGGCACGTTTCGCGACGAGTTGGACGGGTCCTAAGCCTCCCAATGACGCACACAACTGCCGATGGGGACTTTCGGGAGCTTTCGAGGGGAGTGCTGCACGCACGCGAAAGGGGGGCCGTCGTACGCAGCAAGTTGGGGTGTGCGGACGCAACGAGCCCGCTGAGCCCGCTCAGCCAGCCAGGCCGGCTTAGGAGATAACGTCTCGAACAATTTCACGCCGGGCGAATTGGCGTTCACCTGCAATATAATATGGGCCACATGAAACCAGTCGCTGGAATGCGTCCGGGCTGTAAGGGTATCGGCGTAGCGTCCCAGCTTCAAGCGCCCAACGCGGGCCAGCAGGACGAACTCGATGTCAACACAGCGCACTGGAAGGAAGCTGAAGGGAGGTCTAGCAGAGGCGCGAGCATCCAAGCAGGGAGCTGGGCAGTGCGGTCGCCAATGGACGCCCTGCGCGGCAGATTAGATCAGTGATGAAGCTCCGGCCTTGCGGGGAGGGGTGTGCTGCAGTCTTTGTTGTTAGAGCGGTAACAGGCAAGCCAAAACAGAACGAACCGTGCACGTGACCGCTCTCACCTTAAAGAACGGGGTTTGGGCGTCGCCCATCCTCTGCGCAGCACTGCTCTTCGCGACTCTCTCATACAAACTGCTCACAGCCAAACTTCCCCATACAACAACCTTAGGTGAGTCTTCGCTTAATCCGATGTTGCGCTCGTCACAACCAGCATCGCTCCACCCACACAACCCTTTTTTTCCGCGTTTTCTGCGCGTCCCGAAGCCTTCTGGCTCTGGTTTCGTCATCTTCGTCGCTCTTTCGCAGTCTTGATTGCTTGTTCATCGCCGTCACGATTGCTCTATTCCCACGCGCATACTAACAACATTGCAGACCTCTTGCAAGGCGCAACACATTTACATTCTCAACACATCTGTAAGTACTGCCCAGTCGTTCTTTCCCTGTCTTGCGCGTCCTCGCGTCGCAAGATTCGCGTTCTGCGGCCGAGTCACTTTTGGCGGAAGGTGCGCCTACCCACCGCATGGTACTGCGGTACTCCCACCAGCACTCACACCACTCAACGTCAACTTTACTTCCACACCGCTACTCATCACAACCTTCCTGCCTGACTGCGATTGCGATCACAAATTTGTCCTTGACGTCTCCCAACCGCACTTAATCATCACTGTGCCTCCACATTGCGACTGCTTTCAACGACTAATCTTCGACAGCAGTCACCGCTACCAACATGCCTAAGGAGACCAAGACTCGCGGCAAGGGCAAGGCCACCAAGGCCGACTCCGGCAAGAAGAAGAAGGGTACATCCGTTCGCATTGCTATACTGAGCTTAGATGTTGATTAAAACAGATCCCAACGCACCCAAGCGCGGCCTCTCAGCCTACATGTTCTTCGCCAACGAGCAGCGTGACAAGGTCCGTGAGGACAATCCAGGAATCAAGTTCGGTACGTCAATCGATAACAAACGAGCCACTAAGAACGTGCTCGCTAACGCTTTCCAGGCGAGGTTGGCAAGCTTCTCGGTGAGAAGTGGAAGAGCCTCTCAGAGAAGCAGCGCACGCCATATGAGTCCAAGGCTGCTACCGACAAGAAGCGCTACGAGGAAGAGAAAGCCGCATACGCCGTAAGTCTCGTGTCCGCTTCGGGCCCACGATGTTTGCTAACTTTGGTAGGAGGGTGCCGCTGAGGAAGAGGAGGAGTCTGAGTAAGTCAGGCAGGGCTCTTCCAGCCATGTCCTCGCTTGCTCACTCCTCATCTTTGAGCATCATCTGATTGATTTTCTCTGTCTGGGGCGGTGACCGTAGTGCGACGGAGCCAGGGGTCGGGTCGGTTTCCTTCTTCCTTTTCTTATCAATGGGTCAACACGAGGCTATCGATCCGTGGCGATGACTAGCGACCTGCGAGCCCCGGAAAAGTGGCTATGGGTTTTCCATGGAAGATGTTTTGGCGTCATGTTACCGTAGACGCGGAGGCATCAGAAGCTCATGATCTATCTGTACACTAGTTATCTGCGGTATGACAATCCTGCAGTGCTATAGTTGCTGTCAATGTCTCAAAATCTGTGATCGTGATCGCATGCCGGTATCGATGCTACTCACGGACCGATCACCCATACTTCACTCCTGCGTACCGTTGCTCATGTCTCAGTATATCGAATCCCACTCATTTCACGCGTTTTCAAGCGTTTGCCTCAGGCTACTATCATTGGACGGATTTCAAGTCGATACGCATATTGCGTTATCACAGCGTTACTTGCCCGTACGCTCAGAAGTTCGGCTAGTTCACTGAGTAGAGACGCATTCAGCTCGGGCTCTATCCCATTTGAACACGAAGTCAAACACTCAGCTCGGGAGCCTGCATGCTCCAACGCACCTTCCCGTCTTCAATCCCTCCACCCATGCCTGCCTGTCTTGTTTTGTCACACCACGCTACGAACACGTTACTGATACCTTGGTTCTGTATAGGAACTACGATCATTCTCGCTTCGGTTTTCTTCGCTATGCATATATAGAAAATTGGGCAACGGTATAGGCATCGATGAAGGAGCAACTGTAGCCCAGTGGTTAGGGTGTCACTTTCCCAACGCCTCTACGAGGCCGAGACAAGTGGAGATCGCGAGTTCGAACCTCGCCAGTTGCATGTTTTCCTCTGTTGGGCTTCTTTACTGAAGCCTCAGCTCTTTTTTCTTTTGCTGTGTGAGCCTAGTCATTGCGCGTGATCAAAATAGTGTAGTGGTTGGACATGATCGGGCCAAATGAGAGACAAATTAGACAACGTTTAATGAGTTAAATGCTTTGGATATCTCTTTTGGACTTTAAGCCTGCCTTTTCCTCATGTCCCGAACGCCTTGCTGATCATGCTAAATGCCCCAGCTCTTAGGCACAAGTATGACTCTCACTGAGTGATTACGGGGCGGCCATAGCAAACAGTGAAGGTGAATCTTGGATATGCTGCGACTGTAGCACCTTGGTCATACTTTGCAAGAGTACGTTATGTAGGTAGCTGCCCTGCTAGTAGCTTCTGGACCCCAGCTCTCATTCTCGCTGTAGAACGACCATTAACCCCATGATCCCTAGCATCGCTTGCTTGAGCCAAGGATACTCACTCAGGAGAATGGTCACATATCCTACAAACGGAATGAAACCTACTACACTCCCAATGACATCCTCCTTGCGGTTTAGAAAGCTCTGGCCAACGGCATACAGCTCGGTGTCGTCGGCGGCGTTGTTGTCGCCTTTCGTGAGTAGTCGGAGGGGCGTTTTACTGTACCCTTGTTAGCTCACTTCTCCAAAATAATCTCGCAGGTATCCCAGTCGGAAGTCTGGCACTCGAGAACACCTGCGACAGATCCAGCGCACACTCACCCTCCACCAAATCTCCTAACCACCCGATGCACGATCGGGATATCCTTTCCCTTTACATTGTACACCACGATCTCTCCAATCTTCGTATCTTGCCCCCGATTCCACAAGAACAGTAGGTCTCCTCTTTGAAACGCGGGCTCCATGGACCCTGAGAGTACGACAACGATCGGTGAAGGCGAATCGGTAGCGACGGAGAGGCCTTTCCATAGCATGAACGCGGTAGAGAGGACGAGCGCGAAATTCAGCAGTTGCGTGGCTAGCTGCCGCGGTTGCATGTTCCCAAGGCCGAGCATCTTGGTGGTGGGGTGTGTCGCAGGGATTCGAAGGTGTCGCGGCTTCCTTCGGTGGTTGCACAGTGTAAGAGAATTTGGTTTGAGCTTCAACAAGCTTGAGATTGCTTCGTGGTGGCCCGATTGCGCGAGGGTTGGGCGTGGTGTTGAGCTGATAATTTGGGAGCTTGTTGCCAGATGTTCTCCATTCGGCGGAGCTTATGAATGACTAAGCGAGCCTTGTTCCAGGTTCCGCTCAACTCTGAAGACCACTCTTCACGCTTCAATACCAACACTCGTCCATAACGTTCGACATCATCAAGGGCACACGAAGTTCTCCTATAGACATAATGACTGCTCAAGTTCACATGAAGTGCCTCGGAGCTCGAGTACCATTGCAACTTCACCTAAGTGATGAGAGGTCAAAGTGCTCTAGTCCACCTTTACCTAGATGATAAATATCTCCATGTGGACAACCTCTGCACTTCCTCTTCAACACCACATTCTCTCTTGACCTCTCTGAATCTTCTAACAACCACGATCTCGATTTCGCTCTGTTCCGATCTACTATCCTGATCTCTTCTGACCAACCACTAATGATCGCTACGACCTAAAGTCACCTCCAGCTCTCGTCCTGGTCGCGAAACGTTAAGTATCACTAGGACTCTCACCTCCAGTCTCGATCAGTCTGCTCTTCTCCTCGCCCTATACTAAGGAACCAATCAAACTCTCTGTCTCATTCGCGCGTCGCGAGAGCGAGTCAACGTCCCAATCGCAATACTACAGCAGTATGGCTACCGCTGGACCTGGAGATTATGTCCTTATCTCGTCCTTCATTCCGGATATGCCACAGTGGCCAGCTGTCGTAGTCACCGAAGGTGACATCCCTGTGCATTTGCGTGAGGGGCGACCGCAGATCTACAACAAGCCGGTCCTACTTATGGGCCATCTCAAATTGTATGTCGGCTCAATGTCCCGAACTTTGCTGCTGTTTTAGCTAATTGTAATCAGCCACTGGGCGCCAGTGGGCGACATACATCCACTGTATGACACACAATGCCCACAAGAGGAATCACGAGATCGTGCAAAGCTCGAGAGAGCCTATGCAGACGTTCTCGATGCTTGGATAAATGATTGGCAAGCCAGTCACTGGATCAATCTGAGGAAGCAGAACCAGGAAATTAATCAGTCCACCCCCGCGAAGGAACAACGACGCTCAATGAATGAGCATGAAGACGAATTGTACGCGCGTGCAATACAAGCCAGCTTAGATGATCTTCAGACCGGCAAGAGGGCACGACCACCCTCAGTCACACCAGAAGACACTGCTGCGAAGCGCCGCAGACCCCTGGAATTGCCTCGCTTGCATTCGAGTACTTCGGAGACTGGGTCTCCCTCCAGATCACCACCAAAGAGACGCATTGACTTCCATAACAACCTCCGCGATATTGGTTTTGGCGGTTCCAGTAGAAGTCGATCACGCACACTTGGACCAGACGACGGTACTGTAGATTCCGGCGGAAACTCTACTGCAGTTACTCTGTCTCAAAGGATACGGAAGACAAAGGAGAGCTCTTCGTCACTCCGCCAACCCAAGGGCCATCAGAGTCATTTCCGGGCGCAAATCAATGACAGCGATGATCTGTGAGTTTGGTTCTATGCGTTATTCACGGCTGACTGACTCTCGCATCGTAGAGCCACTGACGAAGGATGGGTAGAGTTCCGGATCGGACCTGAGCGAAAGCCCTATTTCCTACGATATGAACTCATACAAGAGAGGTCCTACTTCACTGGAACTAATGCGCATGGACTGCATTGCCTACTTCCTAAGGAAGGTGGCGGCTGGATCTTTGACCGACCTTGGCTCGTAGATATAAAAGAGGAAGACTTCCAATTCCTAGCTCAGTTCCTCGAGAATGGCGATTTCGGCGTCATCAGGGTTGAGACTGATGCGGACAGAGAGCTGGCTTACGCCGGATGTGCTGCAGCGTGGCACGTGGCAGCGACTTTCGGTGCCGAGGACATGCTCGAACACATCGTTGCGAAGTTTACAAGCACCATGCCGTGGGAGGAAAAAGAGATTTTCGTATTCGCGAAGATCGTATACAGGACAGACGCCGTTCCACTTCCTGCGATCGATATGATGAAAGACATGCTGCTCGATTTCATTGCTGCACATTACGACAATTACCTCAAAAACGATGCGACCGAGCTCGCAGAGTTTCAGCGACATTCGCATGACTTCCAACGGGATCTTTTGAAGAGAAGGCTCTACATGCTTGATGCTGGCAACGAGGACGACGCCCGCGAAGTGGTTGAGGAGGAAGCGTACAAGCAGGCGAATGCGTAGGTGAACAATGAGCAAGAATGAGGTGTGCTTCAAGGTGAGGAGTTCAGATTTGTCCTCCAGCTTTACGGGTAGTCTCAGAGTCTATGTTTTCTTTCTTTGTCCTTCATAATCTCACATTGCGGTTTGGTCTTGCTGGCTGGTCTCATATAAGGCCTGTTCCATGGAAAGAGCAGGCGGCAGTTTCATTGCACATTACGAACCCAGTAACACGCTTTGATTTCCCGTCTTTTCCATTTCAGCGCCCGAAAGACAAGTACCTATATTGAGAAGCACTTGCGAAAATGGCACTGTCCATGTCTGGCCAGTGCCAGGCTTTTGTGGCGTCCGATCGCTCCAGTGCTGTTGGCGAAGGCGCTTTTCGAACATCCTGGGCACTCTCGAACATCAACAGCAGCTCGGAGGAGTCCGCCGCGGATTCGCATGTATTATAGCAAAGACCGTCTCGATCCAATCGAATTTTAAAAGTATTGATAGTCACAGTATGAGCTCCTATGCGCTGCACTTATCATCAAAGCCCGCCAATCGTCTTTCATGGTGGACTGGACCATGCGGAGATCAACTTGACAACTACCCCACCACCACTTCGAGTATCACGACATCGACCTGAAAGTGCCACATTCTTGGGGGTGACCGTTTGGGCCGTACGCTCGTGTTCGCGAAAGTTTTGGCGAGAGACCGGACCATTCGCATCTTATCGCTCTTCAGCCTGACGCCACCAATGCAAGAGTTGTGGTGTTCTAGGCGGACCTCCAATGGAGGCTCAACTGTCCAGCTGGAGTTCGCAGATGCTTAAAGGCAGCAATGATTCCCAGCTCCCTAGGTTGTCTGCAGACACAGCCTGGTGGCCTTCCCCTAGGTCACCCGCTCTGTAGTCGGACTTGACACAGTCATTAGTCTTTGATTGTTGCCGATCGCTTGCTGCGGGCGACTGTAGTACTATACCGACCGAGTTGTTTTTCACTGCAGATGCTTGTATCTGCTCAGAATTCGACAACTACAACGCTGTCTTCTCGACATGCATTTTCGACTCGCCGTACTCCAACTGCTTGGATCCTGGTGAGTCGATAGGATTTGAGACATGTTATCTTGGCTAACTTTAATGAAGAGAATGACTTCACGATGAACTCCTGGTCGATCGGTCACTGTGAAGACACTACGACGACTACGTCAGACACAACCCCAATCATCGTCACGACCACTCCGGAACCATCGACAGATAGTATCACGGTGCCACCTCCACCTCCAGAACCAACAACAACGCCCGATCCTAGCTCTTCTGACCCTCCTCCGCCTCCGCCTACTGTGACCTCTGAGGCTCCACCGCCGCCCTCCAGTGCACCAGAACCTCCTGACCCTGCCAGCTCTGAAGCACCTCCTCCGATCTCAACTTCAAAGCCGTCGTCTGCCCCAGAGCCATCTTCGGTCCCACCACCTCCACCGCCTACAAGCGAAGCACCGAAGCCAAGTTCCTCAATCCCGCCTTCGAAAACATCTAAGATCACCCCAACTTCAGTTCCGAAAGCGAGTGTCGTTCCGATCAGTATTGCTCCACGTGTGTCTCCTCAAACTATTGGCATTGTTCCTTCAGCTACTTCAGTCATTTCTTCTCACTCACCACTTCCACGATGGTCAGGAACCGGCAATTTGCTTCAGGGC